CAGAAAGATGTTGGAAGCGCTGTACATCCGCGAGAGGAATCCTAAGTTGAACAACGGAAATAAGTGCATAGCCATAAAGAGTGAAGTTCTGCCATTCATTCCCTTCTCTGGGCTTTGAGATCACCGCGTAATTCTTATCTCAAGATCGTCGATGGTGTCTCATTAGTCCCTTATTGTTCACGGAATCGAGTGGGACGGCAATGCTGGTGAAACCGTAGGAGGTTGGTTCCTTCGCTGGAATCACTTGGTGTTCGAGTTTCTAGGAGTTGTCGCAGAGCTCCCAGAAACTCGAATACCAAAGGATTCCAGAGCGGTAAGCCGTAAATTGGGACCTCCGAAACACTTTCAGGTCCTTGAAGACGACGAGTTAGTCGAAACGTCAGCCTAGTAAATGGTCCCATCATAAAGAACCTGTACGGCAATGCATCGTGAAATATTACGTAACAATGAGGAAATTTAAGAGGTAGCTAAAATACTACTTTGATTGTAGAAGGCATTTACTACTAAATTTTCTCGCCAACCTACAGACACTGGGAAAGCAAAGAATCTAACGCGACCTTCTAAAAATTTCTAATTAATTTCTGGTACGGTTAGGGGTAAGGTATAAGGTGTAGATTTGTCACAAAATTTCGCATCCCTTTCCTACATATTTTACAAGAGTACGCAAATGTTTTTGTCAGTTCATCGCTGCCGTCGTTTGGTCAATAATTCTAGCCTTTTGTGCCGTCGGATTCGTCTACTTGTTCTCCGACACACTTGCCCAATATCTGCGATTCGAAAAGATTGTTCAATTGAATGTGAGTAATTTTACTCTTCAAATGACGCCACCACTCATACGTTAATCGCAAATACGTAAGACCGTCATGACGATGTATATGCACCGATGCAAACAGCTACATCATACTAGTTTTCATTTAGCGTGTGTATGTGACATGCCCAATAGAAGACAGTTATCACTAGACATAAAACAAAGACATCAACAGATACAGCACAAGAGCTTGAATCCAGCAGCTTGGCAAAGAACAATTTGGATAGGCTTAGGCGCTCGGCCAACATATACAAGACAATAGACAAGCAGCTCTAATGTATACTTTTGCAGAGAGAAAAAGCTAAGACTGACTTTACAGCTTAGACACCAAGCCATCAACTATCCATCCGTCACATTTTGCAACACTAACCCTTACAAGAGGGGTAAAATCGAAACAGTGCCTGCTCTAAAAGCTCTGGTATGCAGTTCATTAGCTGTTATTTGTAAGTTTTATAATGACTTATTCAATCCAGCTGACCGTGTATGAATCCTCGGTGGACGGATCTCTGACATGAGTGACACAGCTATGATGAATCATTAACCATTATATTCGAGATTGTTATGCAATGAAGTTTCAAGAAACAAGAGATATAAAGGCACGAAGCTTTATGAATATCGCTTATCTGATTAAAAATCTTGACTTATGTAAGTGGTTAGTAGTTAGGTCGTGAAGTAGCAAGCAAGCATCACAACCTTGAAGGGCCATGACAGATACTTCTATGAAAATGATCGATAGAAGTCAATAATTATATATACGTGGGAATCGTTATAGCTCTGAATTAAATAACCTCGTCAAGGCACTGATCCTAAAAAACTAGAACAATTTGTTGTCAGACATAGGAAAAATTACGAAATGTTGCACATCATATTAAACGAAAATTAAGAGCATCAAAAGCCTAAAACGACAGCTGAAAAGCCTATGTGGAAACATGGTAACCGTCATCAAACGTACACAATAGCGCGCAGCAAGCCAGACAGAATCACTCGAGTTTCCTTGTGAAATTCTCTGGGAACACACCACGGGTGCCATCCGATTTCTCGCCTAACTGCCATCCTTCATCGACTTGGTCTTCTGGCTTGGACTCCAGCACCTGAACTGTGCAACTTACAGGTCAATATGTCTGAAGAATCACAAGTTGCCATAGTGAAACAGCTTTCTAGGCTATTCAAAGTTTAAGACGATGGATTTACGAGCCACGGACGCTATTTAGGGGACATACAATGTCCCACGTCCCACCAAACCTAAACTTGATCCAACGTTCAAAAGTGCTTCTTCATTAACCCATTGACGACACCTTGACGCGCATGCGCGTCAAGCCTTGCAGACCGCGAGAGACCGAGTGACGCGCATGCGCGTCAAGGTTTTGTCACCACTCCTTTCTTGCCAAATCGCAACTTTTTACAATTTTTCTGTGTTTATTCAATAGACAAAACATTAAGACTTCTTCAAACAACGTGGTCCATGATCGGAGCAAATGTGGTTTATTCCAGCAAAGATTTTCCAAACCTTGTGAAAGTCTCATAAAACGAACTTAGACTTCTTTTTCAGGACAAACACATAAATAAATCATAGAATTAATCATAAGTAATCAGTAACAAGGCACAACAACTCCAAGGGATTACGTTTGTACGCGACAAGACTTGTATTTTTTATCGAATCAATCAATCCAAAATAATTCCCTGAACCTACTGCAACGTGTGTTGACCCTTTTCGTTTTTTTCGATGCCCTAACAAATCCTTGCTCTTTGGACATTGCTGCGTAACACTCTGCAATCCTCATCCTGTTGATTCCTTTTAGACCTCTAGGTATCTCCTCCTACACATGTCGCATGAAGTGACAATGATGACTCGAAGTGTGGCCATAATCAACATTTAGCAGAGATTGGACCACTTCTAGTTTGATATCCTTATAGTCTTCACCACATCTTTGAACAGCTTCCAAGCGTTCACAACTCCAGCCATTTTATAGGTGTTGCTTTAGAGATGTTCCTTGTCGTTGATGTTATAAGAACTTGCAATTGGCCAGGCGACTATGTGGCGCACGACTTGTGTGCATTTGTCTTAGCGAGGCAGTGGAAATTCACATATTCCAGGTTTCTCTTATAGCGAGCAAAAATTCTTGCTACCCCCAGTTCTCCCTTTCCTACAGCCTCCTAGGCCTCTAGGTGGCAAATTCCTGTCTTTGCTTTACATGTGCATCAAAGCTGTTGCTAATTTTTTAAAGCCGCTAAGAGGGAGCAGACAAGCAAAGCACCACCCTGCCGACTACTCTTTTCATTCACCAACATAATACACTTTTGATGTTGACCTCAGCTTTGGCGCCAAAAGTGCACATCGTGGGACACCTTGACGCAGACGCCAGCGCCCTGTACAGTAGACACACAAAGTGTAAGAAACCTTCGCTGCCCCAGGCTTGAGTTACCGCTTCTATCTCGACACTGTCACAGGCCTTCCAAATCGTTGGATGTATATAACATAATGACACCTTGTACTCTTGCCACAGTTCAATGAGTCTTGTGACGACTGTGACGGAGATTTGATCGATTGTTCTGAACCCCTCCAGAACCCTACTTGGCATGACCTTCCTTCACCCCAACCTCATTGAGCATTCCGCCAGACAGTTGAGAGTGACAGTGTTCAGAATTTAGAACGACAGTGTCTAGAATTTACAAATTACAGGGAGCGGGACGGTAGTAGCCAATATTGCCTAGGTCCCCATTCTCATACAGCAACAGCCTTATAATGAACCCACGACGTAGTATGTACCTTGCTTGCGGTCCGATAGGTACTGCGTGAAAAGCCGAGCCAAAATTTTCTTCAAATATTCTTATTTGATCCTATAGTGATTCTTCACCGACGTGGAGGCATGTAGAATTTCAGAAGATAAAACTGAAGAAACGGCATATCCATTCCGCTCAAGATGGTTTGTAGGCAGATTCAAGAGATCACAGCAGAAGTCGTAGATTGACCTTCCCCTGCCCGTCGAAATGCCGTATGTTTAAGGGACAGCTGTTCTTCTCTCTTTCAGATTTTCCTTTAGCGCTTTTTCGCTTACGTAGGTTGATTTCTATGTTTCGGGATTAGAGAAAACAAATAAATATCAAACATTGAGAATCGCTTTACTGCCTTGCAAAAATTTCCATATTGAGATCTATACACTTTTGCATGCGTTCGAAGCAATTGTCGAAGCACTTTTGAGACTCTGATTGAGGTATCTCCAAAACATGCACTCTGAACGTATCAATCGCTTCTTCAGTTGTCGAAAAACGTTGGCTTCTCATTTTTTTACGTACGGGAATAAAAGGGAGTCATTCGGTGCCAAGCCAGGGCTATATGGCGGATTACTCATCAAATCGATGTTTTGAGTGCTCAAAAATGCAGTTGTTTGAGCCGATGTGTGAGAGCGCGCATTGCCGCGGTGAAGGGTTTTTTTTTTCGAACAACTATTTTTTGACAGTCAAGGGCTCATGCAATATTGAATGTGTGCTAGTCCCTCTAGGCCTAAGGTTGTTCCAATCTCACGATGGTTCACATGTTGATGTTGTAATATTAGTTTGCGCACAGCATCGTAACAACAACTGATTTTGGACCACCTCCACGAAAGTCGTTTTGTAGTGAACTACGACCTCGGATGAATTCACCATACCATAGACAACCACTGTTCCTTTATCACCAAAAATTGAACTAAGTTTATCCATGCACTGTTGTTGAGTTAATCCACGTCGAAAATTGCAAAAAATAATAGCACGAAAATGTTCACTATTTAATTCCATTTTTTGGTCTAAATAAATCTTTTAAGTTAGGTTTTTGTGGGTACGTGCGACCCCAAAAAGATCAAACTTTACGCTAGAGCTGTCAGTTGCCAGATTGCAACACTATGGTTGCCAAATCCCGAAATATAAAAGGCAACCCCCGTATATTTCTCGAGAGGCTAAAAAAGGGGTCTCTTGATGACTTTGAATTTTTTCGCTTCACCGGTGTTATCGTGATTATGATCGAAGAGCTTTTTCTACTCCTCGGTCTGTGCGGTGCATTGACAGAAATTTCAAACAAACTCTCATGAATAGCAAAGTGATTCCAATTGATGACTGCCTTGGGCCGCTTCTTGAATCTCGCTGGCTTTGCTACGCGCTTTAAGAAGCAGCATTAAGCGCGGGGGAGACGATGTTTCGACCACATTTAGAACTTCGATACACAGCATGAAGGAACCGAACTTTAATGCCATGCCTACCGGTTCACTATCCCACCACCTCCGCCACCGTTGGATAGCAAAATCTTTGCTCGATTCGGTAACCGTTCGGTATAGAGGTATAACCCAGAAACGGTCCCATAACTTTGTAACCAAAATCGTTCAGCAGATTTGGAACACAGTTTTGAGATTAGCGTTCGAAACCATCTACGGCGGTACACATCTCATATTGAATGGTCAGTGCGACTATTCCTCCCATGTTAGAGAACCATGACTTTTCTAACGAGAAAGAAACGATGCAGAACGTTTGTTCAGAACGCGGACGCAAGTATTATAGGTGCCGGGGGTAAAAGAAGATAAGCAAACGAACCACGTTTCCACCCTATGGATCGCACAGGTGCTGGAGATGCGGGGTTGTGGATATGCCATTTTCTTGAGTAAACCCCCTTTAGCAACCTCAGTTACACTTTGAATATATGTCAACATAGCAATGAAAATATACTGACATAGACTGATTATGAGCATAAAAGATTGTCAGCTTCCCAAGTAGTGCTCCTGGGTAAAAAACAAGCCCTAAAGAGAGAGTAATAAATCTTGAAACCTCCTTCCACCATATGCGTAAAGGATGACTTTTTCGTTTAGGAAGTATTAGGTCGTGAAGAAAGTTCTTGCGTTTTTGCGCCTCAAACTTCAAATGTACATATCTCGGCTTAAACAAAACTTCATAAAACGAAATAACAACCATTACTATCGACACACATTTGCTAACGAGAAACAAGTTAGTTTACCCCATTCGCGTAGAATTCC